CACACAACCCAACCCCCAGTGGAGCTTTAACGTTAGTTTGTAGATTATGTTCTACGCCCCCATCGATACAATTTACACTGCATGACAAGGCCAACCCAGGCTAAGAGAAATTCAAAGTTCCAACCGTTACACAAAATACGTTAGTGCTGGGGTTAAATTTTTCATAACCATTTTTTTACAGGCCTAGTGCAAATTCGATGTTGGAAAATCCCCAACGCTAAAGCTTAAAAACCTACACACCTTGATAGTGGACACATCCTGCGTAGGTTTGACAAACAAAGTGACATTTTCGTAATAAGCATTTCGGACACTCACGCCAATCTCAATGCTACACAGGATTTCACGGAACAGACTATCATACTGCACATTTTTTACACCTAAGCCAATCTCTTTGTTTCTCACTGCTAGCTATGTCAAACAGACTGTTTCACTATACATTTCTTACACCTTTGTCAATTTCTTTGTTTCTCACTTTTGCGCAAAACGAGACTATTTCGGACTATAAATTTCTTACACTTATGTCAGTCTCAATGTTTTTCAGTGCTGCACAAGACGGACGATCTATTCGTACTCAACATAAAATTTTACTTTTTCAGTCCTTGAGCTTTGCATGGCAACAAAAAACAGACTACTTCGTAAGTAATAATAATATAATATAATATAATTAACTTTCGCAGTCACTGCGTTTCACGTGGATACTTAGAAATGACACCTCTCTTTCTTTTGCTACACAAGTTTGTCCACTGCTCAACCTTCATGCTTCTCAGTCAACACCACTGTAACTGTTCTCCAACTACACATGTCACCTACTACACCGCCTCAAAACTCGTTAGGCTTTGCACGTTGGTTACACACAACTAATACGTTTACTGTAAGTTTCTGCTCAACATTCAACTTTATAAACTTTAATTGTGACAAATTCGCTGCGTATTCTTTTAGTAGACAGTCCTGTCAAACAAAACGCTAAGTGACCACTTACGAGTGTTGTTCGGGATACAATTAAGCATAAAACTTGTTGTGACGTCCGTAGCTAAACCGACAAGGACGCAGCGTGTAGACTGTTAGACCTAACAGTAACAGTTAAATAATGTGCCTCTTCAACTAGCGGTAATTTATACGCCTACTCTTGGTTTAAAACGGGGATCGCCTTTGGGCATCGTTGAGAGGGGGTCAAGGTAACTTTTTACTCTTTCTCATTGAGAACAAAATCTACACTTTATTTTTCTGTGACGCCCATAACTCAAATATTTGTTCCCTTTCCAAAAACGACCACATACAGTTGTCTTTTTTAATGTGACAAGGCCTAAACTTGAAAGGCGTCAAATTTGATAAAA